ATACAAAACTTTGACATTTCGTTCATCCTCCTATTAATTTAGCAAAGACTTTTCATGGCTTACCCACCCCACCTGTTTCATCAGGGTTTCAGAGACCATCTGCCTTTATTTCTAATATTTCTATGCTTAAAAGGATAGAAGAATTGCTACTGAAATAATGTAGCTTAGTGAAGGTGTTTTAAAAAATGTTGTTTAAATAATTGGGTGCATAAAGAAAACCGCCATTACATTTTATTTCAAATTAAAGCAAACAACTTACTTGTGCCCTGGTGGAGTATGGTGTAGAGAGATCCGTATGGCATGTAATGGGCAATGATGATTGGGTGAGGAGAAGGAGGTGACTGACATGCCCCAAGCACAGGCAGAATGTTTGGATGAGAAAAGATCCTACAAATGTAGAAAGAGAAACAGCTAAAAGCGGCTCTGCTGTGTTAACATAATATTACATTTTACTCTAGGCCATAGGGATGAAACTATAACGAAATATATAACTAATATTACACTTGTATGATCTGGAGCCTTTTAAAGTTAAGTTTTATACCTCATTAACAGAAACTCTTTCATTTTTGAAAAATTCAAGTCAGGCCCAAGTGCTTTTATTTGAGCATACATTCTTAAAAGAAAGCAAAAGAAGAACTGAGGCTCACATTAAAGTAAGAACACAGCTGTGCTGTGCTTCTCCAGCGGGGTTTCTTTGACTTGGCAAGTTTAAAGGTTTCTCTCGTTCTTTTCAGTTTTTTCCCCTTTTAGCCTAATGAGTCTCTGAGATGGGAAACGCTGATTAAACATGGTCAGGATGTTGGAAAAGTAAAACATGCTTTGTTTTATGTTGTCTATGGTTATTTTGATGCAGGAGTCTGCTTTGGTTGCATGCAAGGAACTGCAAACACAGCTGAGAGTACACTTTATAGGATGGTTTATTGATGTGCTTCTCTGGGCAAATTGGAGTTAGAATTGGTTTAGCTTTGAGCAAACTCACATTTATCTATTTGAGCATGATGACAAAAAGAGCAAAGAAAATGACAACAGAATTTGAAAGCATAGATCCCTATTACAGAAACAAAACAAAGTCAAACTATGAACCACCTTTTCTTTGTTGCACCAACATTTTGTACCAAAACCAGAGCGGTTTTGACCACTGACCCAGATAAAAATGCTTTTAAGTTTTGAGTGATTGTGAATCTAACTTTTCACAGCCTCTACAGACTGAGTGCACATCCACATTCTGTGTGAATTAGGGGTCATTTTGTACATTTCATATTTATTTTCTGCTTTTAATGATTTGAGTGTTCTTTTCAGGATGTAGAGTGATTACAAAACAAGCAACTTGATCCCCATAGACAAGTTAGAATTTGCAGCTTAAATACACACATTTGCACCAGACAAGACCCATGGTGCAGACTGTGCAAAGAGGCCCTTGAGATAATCCAGCACATAACTGCAGGGTGTAAAATGCTGGCAGGGAAAGCTTAAATGGAGCGCCATAACCAAGTGGCTGGAATAGTGTACAGGAACATCTGTGCAGAGTGTGGGCTGGAAACCCCAAGGTCAAAGTGGGAAACACCCCCAAAGATGGTAGAGAATAACCGAGCCAAGATCCTGTGGGACTTCAAGATACAGATGGACCGAATGGTAATGGAAAACCAACTGGACATTGTGGTAGTGGAGAAAAAGCAGAGGAAAGCGGTTGTGCAATAGCACTACCAAGTGACTGCAACGTCAGGAAAAAGGAACATGAGAAATTAGGCTACTGGAGAAAGACCTGGAGAAAACCTGGAAGTTCAAGGCATCAGTGGTGCCTGTGGTTGTTGGGGCACTGACCCACAAACTGGAGGAGTGGTTACAGCAGATCCCTGGAAATACATCAGACAACTCGGTCCAGAAGAGAGCATTTCTAGGAACAGCAAAGATACTGCACAGAACCCTCAAGCTTCCAGGCCTCTGGTAGAGGACCTGAGTTTGGAGGGAAAAAATAAATAAATAAA